CTGCATGAGCAGTGTCCTGTGGTGGGGTTTGATGTCACCAGGCTCTGACATCATTCTGGCTCTCAATGCCATGGGCTCCATCACATAGCATTTACCTGGAGGTACAAAAGCCCTGACAGTGGTTCAGCCCAGCTGCTTGGTCACAGATCAGTATTCAGGAGGCAGAAGGAGCCCTCTACATCAAATAACCTTCCTGGGCTAACCAGGAAGGCAAAGCCCCTCTTCTCGACACAGTGCTGGTCCCTGTCTTAGGGGAGGGTGGGATATGCTCAGGGACTTCCCTAGGAGCAGAGGGTGCTGTGGAGGGTGAGACAGCAAGGACTTCCTCAGCCCCCTGCAGGGCTCTGGTGAGGAGGAACATTCAAGGCCACAGCTGAACATCCAAGATGGATAAGGCAGCTCGGGTCTCTCAAGAACAGGCCCCAAGGCATGTGTAAACTATGCTGAAGTGAGGACTATAAGCAACCCACCTTCTGAAGCTCTTCCTTGTTATAGCCATGAGGCCTAGAAACACAAGTACTATGAAATGACAACTGTAAATGAAAAACATGACATCACCATGAGAGCTCAGAACTCTACCTAAAAGCCTGGCTGTGCCTCGGTATATATAAATCTTGGTGTGTGTAGATCGGGAAGACCTGATAAACCTCTAAAAGCATTTGGAGGCTGTAAAGAGCTCTGTCACAGTGACTGGAAGCAATCAGAGGGAAATTAAGAACTCATCTAAAGACTTCCTTTTAGGCAGAATGAAAAACCCTCAGAACCTAAGCCTAGCGTGCATTAATGATTTTTGCTATCAGGTCCCTGCCAGAAAAGCTGGAAATTAAACGGCATCTCCATGCCAGCAAATGTGTGCAACCATAAAAATGTGTCTGGTCTACAACTAATTTTAGTTGCGAGACAGTTCTATGGGCATCACTGCTTCATACAGCTTAAACTTAAACTCAGTCTTAACAGCAAAAAGGTGGGTTTGTTTTTCCTTAAACTTTAAGTTACCAAAATCAGGTTTGTGTGAGCACTGTTCCTTTTCTGGTCAGGCCTCCAATATAAGCTTTGAACTTGGTGGATGGTTTCAATTAAAACGGGTGTAGAAATAAGAGATCTCCAAGATACCAAGTCTTTGCCAGGAAACATGAAACTTATGAATTCACACTATTAAAAGCTTCAATCTTGGGTTTAGACACCAAAGAATTCACATTAAAGACAACCTTCAAAAAGAAAGCAAGCTTTCTTGGAATGAAATGATACTGTGCAAGTGCTGTCTCCCTGCAGGGCCCTAGAAGGACCAAAGTGACAAATCAGAGGAGTCTGAACACAGCACAGGCTGTGGTAGTGGTTACAAACCACGGCATGGCAAACCCCATCGTGTCTCACTCCCTCGAGGGCTGAGCAACAGAAGTGCTGGTGTGTGTGAGCTATCGAAAAGGGTGCGTTTGTTTTGGCAGCAAAGACACGACTGAATGTCACACTGCTGCCTACTCCTGCTGTGCGTTCTGGGATGCTTCCCAAGCCCCAGCTCCCCGAGTCACGTAAGGCAGGATGATCTCAATCTGCACGTTTAGAAGATGACTTTGTGGCCTCAGCAGCCTGAGAACCTCCCCGAGCTCAATATGCAAAAGGCTGGAAAGCCAAAAGGGCAGAAAACTCTGCACAGGGCCCATCTCCCCTTCTCCAAAACCTCAGTGTCTCAGAGCCTTTCTTACATCCTTGCTGGCAGCTGTGATACAGAATCATAGCTTAGTTTGGGTTGGAAGGGACCTTCAGAGATCATCTAATTCAACTCCTGCAATGAGCAGGGACATCTTCAACCAGATCAGGTTGCCCAGAACCACATCCAGCATGGCCAGGGATGGCACATGATAGCATGATCTCCACCTGAAGCTTAAAACCATGCAGGTACAGGCACATTTCATACAGCGAGAGTCCCCTCAGCACAGAGGTTCTCCCAGCATGGACAAAAGCATAAGGAGCATCTCTCTTGACAAATACGGTGAAGATCAATGTGATTACATTACTCCAAAGGAGGTTATAATCTCCAATTTATACACATAGCTCTCTCTAAGGGGAAGAGCAGACTATCTCAATTTTAGCCATCTGAATTTTAAGCAAGCCACTTCTGGACTTATGTCATAGCTTCTGCGTTTTGAGGGAAGAAGTAAAATCTTCTTTTGTGCCTAGGCAGGACGCAAATAAAAGCAAGTGTGTGGAATAGGAAGGGACAGAAGTCTGAATGTCTTCCTAAATGCTTCCAGCCCTAACCTAGGTATAACTTCACGCAGATGCTGGCACCTACAAGGCATTGGAAACCTCCTTGTCAGACTACAAGAGGCACAGCAGGATGCAAAACTTCTTGTGGAGGAAAAGAAACTCCATACACCGTGCTTTTTCCTTGTGCAGGAGGCATGCAGCAGCACCTCTCAGGCATTGCTTTTAGCACATTGGTGGGATGACATTCTGTGGGAGCTGTAGAGAGGTGTGCCAACGTTGGGAGGGGAGAGAACTGGCAGAAGCAAGCAAAGAGCTGTCTTTCAAGTTGTCCTGCTTGCGTAGGAAGAGCCAACAGCATCCTACTCTGATCTCCACCTAACAGCACACTCCTTTACAATTAGAGCACTATCCCCCTTGTCTTTCTTTGATCTTAGATCCCTTTCAAATCAAGCCAATACAGAAGGGTGGCCACCAGGATCCCACAGGAGAAATCGGTGTGCAATGCTTTGAGCATCAGGAAAGGAAAAACACAATTCCTGGGCTCTGGTCTTACTCCAGAATTGCATGTACTGCTGGTATGTACAAGACGACTCACCACCAAGGCAGATCAACATACTGGTGTTAAACAGCCAGCCCAGAAAAGGAAACTGAGGCAGAGGGAGTGGAAGCACACAGAGGTCAGCACCAGAGACATGCAGCCAGGCAGCACAGCCAGGCCTATGTACTGCTGTCTCCACTGCTCACGAGTGGACAGCTGGAACATCTGCTTGAAAGTGCAATTGTCTGCAGATGGGTAATTCAGTGACAAGAGAGTGAACCCCATATGCTGGAGGCTGTGTGTGCAATTCTGGGCTCCATTAAGGGCACCGGACATTCCGGACACACGATTCACAGTAGCATAGGTTCTCCCCGCTTGGTCTATAGAGCTGCAAAACACCACCTTTCTATTCTGTACTGCAGTACTGGTGGTCAAACTGCACTCCTATACAAGATCTACTGCAGCAAAATTTAGTATATAGAAGTTATTTGTCTTACACTGTAACTGTAAAGTGGACTTTTTGGGGTTTTCTTTATGGTCTGTAATTGTTGTACCTGTGTCTCTCAATGACAGCGTTCAGGCCTGGGAAACATTTCCATTCAGGGGAAGCATGTTAGCTGCTGTTACAAGGCAGCTATTGGAACACCCCTGACAACCTAAACTGCCAGAGAACTGAGAAGGCTTTTGGCCCGAAGGATGTCACAGCAGTCAGAGATCAAAGAGTCAGCCCATTTCCAGATTTATGAGTTGGGAATAGGTCTATTAGCTCCCAGTACTCACTCTTTCCTGAGTATGGATTCAACATACACTGATAAAGTAGTTGTCTTAATGGGAAGTCTGACACTGAAAACCACAATGCTCCTGAACAGCCTGTCTCTGTTTTGTCCTCTTCTAGCTCAGCATCAGATCCAGGCAGTAGCATCCCAGAAGCACCCCCAGATGTGATCTCATTATTTCCCTCCTGCTCCGCCTGGCAGCGCCCGTTTGCTTGTACAGCCATCCACATGGTGACCCATGGCAGGGAATCCCAGGTCTGGAGGAAAAGAGAGAACCCTGCTGTTACTGTACAGTTGATTTAACTTGGATTAGTTCTCTGATCACACCGTGCAAACTCAGAGGCAGCTTAGCAACCCACCTAGCTAAAGGGAAAGCGGCAGGATGGGGTGAACAGTGGGGGGCCTGTGGTGCCAGCAGCTGCTTGAGCTTGGGCTGCTGCTGCTGCTCAGAAGAAAAACAACACAGGTGCTTGTGTGGAAAACTCACATTTCCTTGAAAAAGCCGAGCTCTGTCTAGCTACTTAATCCATCTTCACCAAACACTACACAATAAAGTCAATATCCCTGTAAGGGATATTCAAAGCAGGATTAAATCCCCCCAAAACCTAAAGGATGTCACCTCTATTCTGCATTAGACAGGGAAGAAAAGTCTGTTTATGTTTTTCAGCAAAAGATACATAAAAAAGAGCAAACCCCTCATCAAATAAATGTAGTATGGAGTAATCCCCCTTTGGTACCACCCGTGGCATCTTCTAAATCTGCACAGAATCTGCAGAGCAACTCAACCCTCCCAAGTCTTTTATTAAACCCTAAAATGCTGCTGTCCCTGCTTTCTGCACCACCAGTCGCATGTGTCCTCTTGTTACATTGCTGAGAACCCTGCACAAGTCTCATGTTTCTGACCATCATTTGCATCCCGCAGAGTTTGTTTGGGAACAGACGACTCAGAAACTTCACTAATGAAAGCACATGTAAATGCGGAAAGGTGCATTAGGAATTATTAAAACCGGCTTTTAATGATCAAAACACCATTCTTTTGCATGAAGTCACTTTTCACACAATTCCTGTAAGCAAAACGGGAGCAAACCCGTTTAAAGGCACGTTGCTGACCGCCAGCCACATCCCGTTGGAACGCGTGGGCAACGTTTCAGCACGAGACCTCTCCGGGGGGGGAACGGTTACCGCGGAAGCGCCAGGGCTGTGCGAGCAGGCGCATGCAGGCGTTGGCAAGGGGATGCTACCAGCGCCTGCCTCTGCCCCGTCTGACCGCTGGGGCTGCCCAGGTGCGTTTGACTCGCATCTTAAAGAGGTGTTGTCAGAGCAGGCACAGCGGGAGGCCGCGCAGCTCGCAGCCAACAAGAGCGGCCGAGGGAAGAGATAACCTTTGTTTACTCTGAGTCTCACACTATGCGGGAGCAGGAGCCCCTCGCCAAAGCAGACAGCTGCTGGCGAACACCGTAACCCTATAGACCCAGGTGTTGTGTTAGGAACAACCCAGGCTTCGAACCTCCACACGCCACGCTGGTTCGCCCATAGAAAGAGGACGTAGACCCTCCTCCGTGGCAGTGTTTCGCGCAGGGCGTCGGGAGCCATCACCCACGGGTGCCCCCCCAAGCGGGCACCCCACCAGCAAGCACTCGGCGGGGTGCCCCGGCCCTCTCGCCCCCCTTCCCCTCCCGGGGCCGGGCCGCCCCGCTCGGAACCCCCGCCCCTGCGGAGCCCCCCTCCCCGGCTATAAAGGCGGCGGGGCAGCCCGAGCCCCTCCTGGCCCGCAGCCATGGCCGCGCTGCGCTTCGGGGAGCCCCCAGCCGAGCCGCCCGCCTTCCCCGCAGGCAGGTGGCCGGGGGGCGGCGGGCCCGGCTCGGCCTCGCCCGCCCTGAGGGCGCTGCCCCCGGCGGAGCCGTCAGAGGGTGCGCCGGCGGCCTCGCAGCGTCGGAAGCGGACCAGCTTCACGGCGGCGCAGCTGGAAACGCTGGAGCTGGTGTTCCAGGACACCATGTACCCCGACATCTACCTGCGGGAGAAGCTGGCCTACGCCACGCAGATCCCCGAGTCCCGCATCCAGGTGAGGGGCGCCGGCCGCGCCGCGCCGCCCGGGGCCGTCCCTGCCCGCCCGCCCGCCCTCACCGCCGCCCTCTCTCCCCAGGTCTGGTTCCAGAACCGGCGCGCCAAGTCCCGCCGCCAGAGGGTCCCGCCCCGGCCGGGCCCTGGCCCCGCTGCCGCCGAGCCGCCGCCAGGCTTCCCGCGGCCAAGGGGCTTCGCCGCCCTGCGCGGCCCGGAGCGGCCCCGCTGCGCGCTGCCCGGCGCCACACAGCTCCTCCCGCTCAAGGAGGAGGGATCGGCCCCCTACGAGTGGCCGCCGGCCGCCGCCTTCCCGCCCGGCCCCGGCTTCGACGGTTTCCAGCCCGGCGGGGCCGAGGCCGCCTCCTTCGCGGGGTCTCCGGCGGCCGGGCCCTACCCGCCGGGCCGCGCCTTCTGCGGGCAGTACTCGCCCGTGTCGGACGCAGAGGACACCAGCGGCTACTCGGAGTCGGGCTCGGAGTGGGAGGAGAACGCGCTCGGAGCCTTCCGAGCTCTCTGAGCGCCCGGGTCGGGGGTTAAAGCTTGAGGCGAAGCTCTCCCCCCGCCAGACCCTGTCCTGCGGTGCGCTGCTCGAGCAGGGAGCGGGCATCCACCGCGCTACCTCACCCCTGCCCTGCGACTGTGCACTTTATCCGGTGGTAACTCATTTCACCTATTTATTTAAGAGATACGGGTCAGCTGAGGGCATCTTTTTACGCTGTATTTAAAGATTTCCGCCAGCACGTTTTGTATTTCTATTTTATCTTCTTTAGTCAAACAAGCTAACCGAATCCACTGTGTTTTGGGGGTAGGAGCTGGTCTTTAAGAGTAGGATGGGCTGTAGGGATATTTTGACTGAGGGGAAAAAAAAACCCAGTAATAAAGGTTTACATTTTTGCTCTGTGTGTAAGCCTGTGTGTGTACTTGGGGTGGGGACAGGGCTTCTTACCTTGGTCAAGGAGGGGTAGGGAACAGAGGCTGTAGATATGCCAGCTGCAGGTTCTCTTCCCAGGTGCTGGAGAGCCGCGTCTGGAGTCCATGTGTAAGAGACCTGAGGTGCCTGCAGGACAGGTTACAAACAACGCCTTAAACTGTGTTGGTATTTGCTTCGGATCTGCTCTAGACAACCAGCCCCACCCCTGGATGAGAGTGTGAATTTATGGCTTAAGTCATAGAAAATGCAAACCCTCAAATTGTCTTGCTGAGACAAAAGCCTCAATTCTGCCACTTAAGCCAAGGGTAATGTTAAATGACAGAAAGCAGGAGTATTTTATCAACACTAAAGATTTTTCAGCTCTGAATTAGAATACTGGGGACCACACACAGAGAAGCTGTTGCTGTGATCAGTAGTGGGCTGGACATCTGCACTGAGAGCACCAAAATCAGCAGTAACAGAAGCCTGTCCAGTAATTCAGGCAGTTTATTTAGGAAGGCTGTATTACTGTGTATTTATTCTGAGGGTAAGGTCAATTCTGCCTGCCTACAAAGGAGTACTTCAGAGAAAGTTGTAAGACTCCCAGTTGCAGAAGAGCATTTGAATGCCATGAGGTTTGGAAGCACAGAACATGCAACCTGTGCACTGATGGCAGGAATACTCTGCATTGAGAATCCTGCCCCACAGAATAAGGTCACCAATGCACAGAATCCCTCAGTGTCACACCATGACATACCTGGGCTTGCGACATCTGTGACACTGAGCCGTGGTTGAACTGCAGGCTTCGAAGGGGAAGTACCACTGCAGGATTGCCGATTAATGTTCTCCCTCCAAAAACAGAGCTGCCCTTAAAACACCGAGTAAACCCCACCAAACAAATCAAGTTCCACAAAGCAGGCTTGGGTGCCTAAAGAGCTGTTTTGTAGGGGTCGAGAAGCATGCACAGGAGGAGGCAGAAAATGAGATGATAATTTCTAGGGGGCACAGGGTAAATTCAAGTTACTAAGAAAGCAAACTAACCTGTTCTGCTTCTGCAGGCTTGAACTGCACTACAGTAGTTGCAGTGAGTTCTTGAGATCTCTACTATGCGTAGGCCACATTCAGCAGAAACAGTCATATCTGTTAAGTGTATTTGATCAAAACTCAGCATTAGCTCTGACCAACATGCCAGTAACCAAGGAGAAACGCAGCCTGTTGAAGAGGCATGAATGTTCACGTTGCGTACATGAGATGGCCAAATACGTGAAAGTACATGGTACATGGATATGCTTATCACAAATTACCTACCTTCCTCCTGTTGTTGGAACTAGATGATATTAAGGTCCTTTCCAACCCTCACCATTCCACGATACTGCCCTGCAGTGATGAAAACCACTCCAGAACACCACAAAACATGCTGGAATTCATGGGTTCATTTAAGAATCCACATGTAAAATCTGTCATACCTACAGGATCAGGGTTACAATTGGAGTGTGGTGGTCATTACAATGTATTCTGTATCCAGTTAAGAATTGAAAGCAGGTTCCCAGCAGCATCACTCCCCAAACTAGCAGGATACTAAACCTATCTGCCTGAAGTTAGGCTCTGGCACCTTTCTCTGTGCACATAAAAAGGGTGGTGGGAGGTGACCTGCCTGCCTTCTTTACCAGAGGGTAACACTACAGCATGATGGGTAACATAACAACAAAAGCAACTGCAGGGAGCACCTGTGTTCCATTGTGTTATGAGAGGTAAATTTCCACAGGTAACTTGGCAAAATTAGTGTTTAGCGTTATTTTGCAATATCCCTTGCAAAGTTCCTAAATACCTTTAAACACAGCTACTCACCTTGTCCTCGTAACATTTCATTCTTAGCAATTAAAGTTAACCTCTCTGAAAAGAAATGACCTGAGACCATCTGCAAAAAAGCTTGCATTTTTGTGAAATATATCAACTCTCATAGGTCAATTTATTCAGAGTTACAAATTTCATTGAGAATAAAAGATTTATGCATTTAATTAACAGAACAAGTTTAGCTAAATAGAAACTCTGCACTAAAGTTTTGCAGTGGCACAATACCAACACAGAATACAGAAGCATCTTTCAACTATACAAAATTTTAAAATTGAAAATAATCCTGTTTACATATTCTTTATACATTAACATATAAAAGACCTCATTTAATGAGGCATCTAAAAGAATCAAAAAACCATCTCTACAGCTATCTCTGAAAATCCGTATCTGGAAACAATTCATTACACAGAAGCTTTACAAGACTATTTAAACAAACCAATACACACTTTTTACAAGATTAACATTCCAAAAGGTACTCTGTAGGCAGGTTGTCACTTTTTCTTTTTGCAGTTTACTTCACTGGTTATCTTCCATTATAAAAGTCTTTGTATTTCTATATCTGGTGGGTGTTGGTGGATAACCAGTCATCTCATTTAAAAATTGTGCAAAACAAACAAAAATTTGGAAAAACAGTATGCTTAACCAGTCATAGAAAATACCAGCTAAAGCACTTTGCCCCCTGTGGAGGGTAAAAAGCCATCACCAATCTCTTCCTGGAGAGTTATCTGTTACCTTTTTTACATTCCTTCATCAGACTCCTTCTATAAGTTACGATAAGTTAAAAGTTCCAACAAGTCACTGACTGATCAATAGACCTGCCCAGCATCCTCAAGTTTACAGCTTCTCTTTACTGTCTGTTCCGTATCCTGTTGCTGCTTCTTTAGATGGGGAACACAGCCTGTGTTGTACCCACATTACCCAAAGGCTGAAATGGCACCTCTCATACTTACACAGAAGTGTGTAGCTTTACCTAACAAAGACCTGCCATGTGGCTACTAATGTGAGCCATTTCCTCTTCGGCACTTCTGACATACCAGGAGAGTCAACAGCAAGAGGTGTGCAGAATTCATCTGAACTTTTAAAAAACTTAAATTCAATTTAATTTGAATTTTAAGTTCAAATTATAAGAAAGTATGTCCTCAAGTTTATTATAATAAATGCAATTACTAAGAGATTACCAGTTAGCAAAACTACTGTATGTGAATAACAAACGGATAAATCTAATGTAATGCTGGCCAGTAATGCTGGTTTTCTTAAGAAGCAGATAGAATATATTTTAAAGGGTCCTTTGTGAGAGGTTTTTTGTTTCCCTTATCTTCTGGCAGTTAGGATATTTGGTGAAGCCTATATAAAGGAAGAGGATTTTCCAGAACTACTTGCTGTACACTTGAAGGAAAACGTTCAGTCTCTGTTGGTGTTGTTAGCTGCAAAAGCATGTAGATTTCCCATCTGGCTCAGACCACTCTGAATATGTGCAACATGGATCTCAACGTTATTCTGAAAACAACTACAGGAAGAAAAGAAGAAGGAGGAAAAGAAAGTGTTAAAACCCATATTTAAGAGTTGTATCTGAATATTTGCACAGTGAAAGTCAAGGTAAGAACACACCCAGTATAAAAATTCAGGTGAATTAGAGTATTGCACACTAATGAACTTGATAGAGATACAGGTAAATATAGCGTTCATACAAACAGCCGCAGAGTTACTGATTTGAGTACTTAAAAGATGACGTTAACATGGCCAGAGTTGTTTAAATAAAACTATTATGGAGAGATGCTAAAATGCCCAAAATAAGTACAATGAAATGGAAACATCATCACCTTCACAGTGTAGTTCAACCTTTGGCTGAATCCTTTCCAATGTGCCATTTGCAGTGTTGTTTATAGAGAAGCTTTGTTTTTACTGCTGAACAATGCTAGAAAACAGCATTTCTCAGGAATTATTCTTAAACCAAAAGGCCATCCTACTATCTTTTGCAAACAAAACCAAAACCTGTAATTCGTGTGCGCAGCCTCCCATTATTATGTAGCAAAATGAGTATGGAGAGTATAAGGAAATACTTAGCATTTAGATATAATTTTCCAAATTGTGTAATTTAGAAGCATTATAATTATACAAATAAAATCCTGGTAACTCCTTCTGGAGGCTGCAGTGTGATCCAGACAAGTATCACCACATTCTTGCTATTTTTACAGTGCTTCCTCAGGCACCTGCTTGGGACAACTGTTGAAAAATGGCCCATCCAGAGTAGACGGGCCTTTGATCTGGCACAATATGGCTGTTCATCTGTTTCTTGGTTTAGAATATTGCTAATGGAAGCTGGTCAGAAGCTGTAATTATCTCATATGCCAGCTTTTGGTATTTACAGATAAGAGGTTGAGTAACAATGCAAAAGGAATACTGAAATTGTACTGTTCTTAGGTTTAAAGAACTTACTAGTGGGATTTCAAAGTCTGAAAGTGTTCCAAAATAACTTATTAGTTGTCATAAGTGACCGAAGAACAAGAAAGTCTAGTTGTTGTGGCATCAGTTCTGCACTTTTTATTTTCTACTCAGGTTACTTCACTGATAGGTTCAAACAGAAAACTGCTAATTTCACACTCTCTTTAAGAAACCCTCTATTAAATGGGACAATTCCTATAAGATACCAGATTAAAGACCTTAATTATAATCAATGTTCACCTCTAAAATACAGTGAGAATGACTTGCTGGCATAAAATGTGTAATTAAGTATTAAATATTAAAAAGTAATACCTGATATTTGAGTAGTC